AAAAGGATCCCTTTCCTTGCCTCTCATTCTTCTGCTCAGTCCTGCCTGTCCTACCTTCTGTCACATTCCATCCTGGTTTGTGCCATCAGCCCCTATTGGGTCCTCGTTTTATAACTCTGTATACAGCATAACCCTGCTTCTTCCCCACACCATCTTTTGTAGCCCCTCCCCACAGTACTTTGCACTCACTCACCCCTGCCTGACCACCATCCTTTTGTTTCCCTTCCTTTCTGGAGATACTTTCAAATGGTTTGAACTGTGTTGAATAGCACTGACTTGTCCTTTTATTCCAACAGACTCTTCTTGAGTGTTTATCATGGTGGTAGGCATGAGTAGGGAGGCGCGGGCACAAGAAGAATGTGAAAAGTCTAGGCGTAGACTTTGAAATCGGTCAGAACTGGGTTCAAATTCCAGCTCAATGCTTTTGGACTGTGCAGCCTTAGTCAAATTACTCATCTTTTCCATTTCACTTTTCACATTTCCGTTTGGAAATAATTATAGCTCCTATCTCACAGATTTACTGTCTTGCGTGAAAGGATATTATGGCCCCAAAATGTTTGGCATTGTACATGGCACAGAAGAAACTCTCAATAAACGTAGGTGACGAAATACAACATAAGCTACCTTCCAGGAATTTGCAGTCCAGAAAGCATAAAATCAACATGTGTCTTAAAACTATTCCCCGTCACACAAGTGTAGTTACTGGAATAAAGTTTGGAGCAGAGCATTGTGGAAAGGTAAAGCATTATAAAAATTTGTCCAGTTGGGGAATTGGGGGAATGGCCTTTTCAGAAAAAATGCAGACCATGTATTTCTTCAGCAGGCAGATACTGGCAGTCAGAGCGCATCGCCGAGGAAGGGTGGGAACGAAGGAGAACGCTAGAATTGGAAGCAGGAGCGTGCATCCCCAGCTGTGCAACCTTGAACTGTCTGAGCCCCTTTTCTTCCCAGTAAAATGGTGGGAATGCCACGAGCTCTGCCTGCATCCCAGTACTGGCGTTGGGATCAAATAAGATCCTCTGGGGAAAGGGCTTTGTGAATCCAGAGAATTAGATGCAGTTGTGATGGAATGAGTGATTGTTATCCTCAGCCTCGTGGAAATCAATTCCTGCCTCTCCGACTGTACTCCGACTGGGTTCACCCCCTTGTGGCCAATGGCACCATTTGGCAGGTCGGCTAGCCTGTACTCTTATTGAAAGAAATGTTTTGACAGAGTGTGCTCTGGACTCACATGTGGACAGAGGCGAGCAGTACACCAGCCAGGTTGTGCAGAACAGATCATCAAACCGTCCCTTCTGCTTAGCACTGAAATTAGGAAAGGACGGATGGCATGGGAGGAGGCCTTAGATCACCTACAAAGGGAATGATTAAGAATTAGCTCTAATAGGAATTTGTAAAATCACGATGCACGGGATCAGACCACTGGGTGGATGGGAAAATCCAAGAGGGCCAAGCAAGCAGATCTTAGCCTGTAGCACAGACCTCTCTCTGCCGGTGTCGGCCTCTGTCTGTTGTCTTGGAGGGGACTGCCGATCTGACGCGTTCCGGTGAAGTCTGGTTTTGTCTCTGGGGCCTGGAATTTTGCAGTCTGCTCTGTCCAGGATGGGCTGTGTACATACCTTTGAGCAAATAGTTGGAGTAGTTCCCGGCTCACTCAGCCAGCTGACTCTGTGACAAAGCAGGATTTATCTTTTCTCCTCCTTTGTCCAAACTCGAGGACAAAGAACGTGGCGACTAGCTCCTCGTCACGGGGTGTGCGGGAGCTTGCCAAAAAAAGAAAGCAAAAGAAACCATTTTCCAGCGTGGCTGTTGCCATTGCCCCCCCAAAGAAACTCGCAAATATGCACCTTCCAGACATCACCAAAGAAGAGGTCACCCCACAACTGGACCCCTGCAGCACCCCAAACAGGAGATAACAGTTAGGGGGCCATCCTCCAGTGGGTGATGTTGCCCATCCTGTTGCCCTGGGGCCAGCCTGTCATTTGCACCTCTGTCTTCAGGGTCCTGCCTTTAAAATGACATGTGGGAGGGGCCGTCATTTGGGGGGGCTAACTTGGCATGACACCACACGCCCAAGAGTGACAAGGTTCACCTGACCATGACGTGTTGGAGGGTAATGGAACAACTCTGAGATAAGAGTACGGAGCCAAAAGCCAAAGGTCTTCAGAGTGGGAAGCCAGCAGGAGTCAAGCCGGCCTCTTTGCATTTGAACCCTGTTATCTTCTGGGTGGCATCAGATTACTCAACCTTTCTGAGCCTCAGTTTCCTCATCTACAAAGTTGAGAGTAATAATAGTAGCCATCTCAGAACCATTTGGGAAGGAATCATATGCAGCACAGTGCCAGGCACCCAAAGAGTGTGCAAGAAATAGTAACTGCTAAAATAACTCCCGGGCTTCTCAAAATACTCTTTTTGCTTTGCTTGACTAAGCCCATTTCCAGTGGTTGCATAAATACACCACCTATAGAACACGCTCATTGCTTTGTTCTTTAAGGAGGCACAAAGCACCCTGCAGAAACGGTTGTTTATTCTTTTCGCAAAGCTGGGAGAGTTGGAAAGGGGAAGGGTTACAATTTTCCATTTCACAGATAGGAAATCAGAGGCATAAGAAAAGTAAATGACTCGCTTCATGTCACATAAAGCCCTCCGCAGAGCTGTCGCCGGTCATGACCCCCCCATGCAATGCAGCTCCTGTTCACCTTTCGAAAGTCAGGGGTAAGCAACTCCTGTCTGAGCTTTAATACCGTCAGCCTAATTTCTCAGATTTTCTATAGTTGCTGATCTTGAGAACCTCTGAAGCTTTGGGGAAATCACATGGGTGATTTGACCTTAAATCTCATGCCACTGGCAAAAGATTAATTGCTAAGACCTGGAAAGAGGCCAGACAATTCTGTGGAGCTGAATAACAACACCGTCTAGGGATGTGACTGTCCTGACAGATTTAGTTAGTACATAATTGATAAATCTAGACTTTGTATAGCTTCGCTTCCCGGATAGATAAGGCAACAGGCTCCAAGGGTTGACATTTACAGAAGCCCTACCAGTGTTTTGTAACACTGAAGCTAGGTTTTCTACTCTGTTCCTCAGAACACTGCTCGTTTTCTAAGTCTCTGTTCCAGCAAGCAAGAAAGATGAGGGGATCTGAAAAGAGGCCACCTTGGCCAGTGTCAGCAAGGATGCCTGTCATTCTTTAGCACTGTCCCCTGACTGCTTATGAAGTCCTGTTTCCCCTGACCCACTGCAAGCTGACATCAGAGAGGAATGCAAGGCATTACATAGCAGCGAAGAATTTGTCATCACAATCAGAATCCAAAAAAGATAAAAGGCAGCCAGAGGCAACATCAAAGCTTGAAGGGTGGGTCTCAACCCCGGACATGGCTTGACTCTTGCTCCAGACTTGAGTGTCACGAGATGTTTCTTAGCTATTGAACTCTGACAGGCACACAGAAACCTCAGCTTTTCTTTCTTTCACTTTGGTCACTTATTCCAGAAAGTATTTTGCTTATCAGAAAGAATTGTTGGGGTGCCTGAGTGACTCAGTCGGTCAAGTGTTTAACTCTTGATGTCAGCTCGGGTCATGATCTCGGGGACTTGAGGGCTCTGTGCTGGGTGTAAAGGTGCTTAAGGTTCTCTCCCTCTCCCTCTGCCCTCTTCCTGCCTCCTGTGTCTTCTTTCTCTAAAAGAAATTTCTTAGTAGGCATTTTTCACTGTAATTTTAATTCGGAGCCCATACAAGGCAAAGTTTGGTTCCCTTTCCTTAATTCTTGTCTAGTTTTATGCTGCAATTCAGGAGGCATTGTCGTGTGCCTGGTACACACCCGGTATACTTTGATAATTTGGGCATCCGCTGTCAAATATCCTACCCAGTCATTTCGGTCAGGAAATCAGTGGTGCACTGTGTACAAGATCTTATATACAGTGGATCTGGCTTTTTGGGTTTTGCTGGAAGTGAATGAAGAGGTTATTAAATATGAAGCCTTATCTTCACAAAGAAAAACCTAGTGACTTCATGTGTTATGATAACACATAGAGCTGCTTTCCCAAGCTAGTTATTACTTTCTGAATATAACTTGTTGATATATATTACTTTTTAATAATCATTTGGAAAAAGTCATATGATGTATAATAATTTTATTGCACACAGTTTTTTATTTTTTTATTTTCTTTTTATTTAAGTTTCACTAAGTTAACATACAGTGCAATATTGGTTTAAAATTCAGTGGTTCTTCAACTAGATACAACACCCAGTGCTCATCACAAGTGCCTTCCTTAATACCCATCACCCACCTAGCCCATCCCCCACCCTCCTCCTCTCCAGCAACCCTCAGTTTGTTCTGTATCATTAAGAATCTCTTATGGGGACACCTGGGTGGCTCAGTCCATTAAGCGGCTGCCTTCAGCTCAGGTCATGATCTCAGGGTCCTGGGATCAAGTCCCACATTGGGCTCCCTGGACAGTGAGGAGTTTGCTTCTCCCTTTCCCTCTGCTGCTCCCTTGTTTGTGCTTTCTCACTCTGTGAAATAAAGAAATAAAAAAAAAATTTTTTTTAAAGAGTCTCTTGGGGCACCTGGGTGGCTCAGTGGGTTGAGCCTCTGCCTTCAGCTCAGGTCATAATCTCAGGATCCTGGGATCGGGCCCCGCATTGGGCTTTTAGCTCAGCCGGAGCCTGCTTCCCTCTCTCAGTCTGCCTGATCTCTCTGTGATCTCTGTGATCTCTCTCTCTCTCTATCTGATAAATAAATAAAATATTAAAAAAAAAATTTTTTAAAGAGCCTCTTATGGTTTGTTTTCCTCTCTCCCCCCATATGTTTGTCCGTTTTCTTTCTTAAAGTCCCACATATAGTGGAATATTCTACTTTTTCCACTTAGCATAATACCCTCTAGCTCCATCCATATCGTTGCAAATGGAACACCGTTTTTTATATTAAAATAGTTTATAAGTTGCTCCTAGAAACTTTGTCACTCTGAGTTAAGTAAACGATTTTTTATTTTTGCATTAGATGAATTAGAGAAATTGGAACAGGAGAGGCTGGCTTTGGAAGCTACTATCAAAGATAACGAATGTGAAGAAGGAAGTGGAGGCATCCGAGGCTTGTTTAAAAAAGCTAGCAAGCTGAACATTACTAAGCCAACTCCTAAGAAAGGTAAGTACCTTTAAAATTCACAAGAAAGATGCAGAAATGAGCCACTGCTTGAGTATTGATGGGGGTCAGAAGTCATCATCTAAGATGTTGGGGGCATTGAGTCAGCAAAGGACTGAAAGACGCTTCTTTAAAGACATTAGTACAGATGAAATATGTAAGTTATTTATCAGTAACAATAAGCCCTTTGTGCCATCTCATTGCAAAAACTTAATTTTAAAATAATAATATTTGGTTTGGGAGTCTCATGGTGCCTACGTGGATTTGAGTGCCATAAAATGGACATTTCTTCGTTAGGATGGAAAGGGGATAGAAATTTAAGAACCAATACCCAAATGATTTATAGATAAATCCACACACACACACACACACACACACACACATGCCCCTTATATACCTCTTGCAGACATTTCAGGAGACTAAAAGTTACCTAGGACAGTAAGTGAGAGCACTAATTTTGAAAACCTTCTATCTTTGTCCCAAACCAGAATTTTGGACTCGGAACTTCTCTGAAACTAATTACCTGTAGATTTCAGCTGAGTGGTACACTTACCTCTGAAAGTCCACTATGCACCCCAGGCATGGGACACTACAGAATGAGAGCTTTTTATAAAACTTATAAACAGGTGATTCAAACATCTGACTTTTTTGAAAATTGACAATCGTTTTCTTTTCCCGAAACACTTGCCAGTTTGAGTTTAATGAGGTCCACGGCGACCTCTGCTGGTAGAAAATTAGAATGTTAACATCCACAAATAATCCTACACTTAACAGAAATCACTTGGTGTGAATCCGAGAAAACATCATTTCTCTGGGGAGGGTTTTCAAGTCAAATAGCAAGATCCAAATTGAGACTTAGCAGGCTTCTGGTCTAGTTTGACAGGATCCACCCTTTCAATGAGATCCTTCAATAAGCCCCTCTAATACCCTGGGAAATGTTTGGTTCTGTTTGCTTGCTTTCCTGCTATAGCCCAAGGACAAAGTTTCACCTGTAATACAATATTTCTATATATTTACATAGAATAACATGAAATGTAAACATCGCCCTTCTTCAAGTAATAGAAATATCCTTGGGTTTCTGGAATATTCACAGGCTAGAGGAAAGCCTATTAAGTATTGTCCACTTTAACATGACATTGTCCAGAAAAATGATAAGTTTGAGTCTCAAGTTGGAGGTACATCAGGACCTTCGGGTGTAAATATTAGACTAAGACCATCTGGATGCTGTTTTCTTTCCTTTTAAGTTATTTGGTTTATTCATGAGAAATGTTAACTATTCATTGAATCTTTTCTACCATTCAGTTATTCAATGTTAGTTACAGTCTGGAAAAGCAATGGAAAATTCAGAAGTCATAGCCCAACACTGTTCTTTGGCTGATGGGAGAGGGACGTATCCGTGTTCCTATTAATGAGAAGGGACTTCTTATTTATCCTGGAAGCCTGTTTCTGCATCACACATCTCTAGGCAGAAATGCATTCCTCTGAAGGTCAACATGTCTGCTCAGAAAAGCAAAATGATGTTACGTTATATTTCCCACACCTCAAATTTCAAATGCAGCCCTCAAGGAGGCCCCTTCACCTCTCTGGGCTTTCACTGGTTGACAACTGTTTGGAGTTCTAGATCAGGACGACCCTACCTCCAGGCACTAATGCCTGGGTCCTCTGTGGGCTTTGATTTGCATGGAAGTGGGGGTCGAGTTTGGTCCATTTTGTAAAGATATTTACTTTCTCTCTTAGTAGTCCTAGGGAGAGAGAAGCCATGTAAGATAATTGCTTCAAAACTGACAGGCCCCAAACATGGAAACGGCAAAGGACAGAACAAAGCATCTTCAGAACCTCTCAGATCAGAGAGGAAGCTCTGAAGCAGCCGCCGTCAGCTCGACTCTAAGCACTTTGCTAACACCAACTCTTTGAAATGGAGCAAAAAAGTCACAACATTAAAAGATGTGGAAATGAGAAATAATATCTAGAGTGGAGCAATGAAAACCTCTGCTGGCAAACAGGAGCCAGGGTCCTGCTCAAACACTGGCCTAGTTCCCAAGGACACTGTCACTGGATCCTTGATAGAAGGGAAAGTGCATTAAAAAAAAATTTTTTTAAATACTTTCCATGCACCCTTATCTCTACCTCAAGTGAAAGAATTTTTTCTCTCCATATTTCCTGGCTTCTCCATCTCATTCGCAGAAATTCAAATAGCTCAGTGGCTTTCCCTGCACTTCACAAGTTTTTCTCCAAAACAGAAAAGCAAGCCAGGCTGACATTAGGACCAAAGGGTCATAGAGTCAAGATACATCTGGTCCCTAGCCACCTTTGTTATCCAGACGTTCGTGGAATTGACACCAACTGCACTCAAATAAATGCTCTAATGAAGAAACACTTCTGATTCTATTGCTTATCTCTAGAAGATCAATCACCACATTTTCTACTTTCAAGTAAATTTGAAAATAGGATTAAGTAGAGTTATAGCTGAAATTTTGAAAAATGGGGATATTTTGGCTATTGTATCAGATCATATAGCATTGTTACCTGCCTAAGTAATAATTCTGCCCTCACATTACTGGAGACCTGAAAATAATCTACTGCTTTATAACGAAAACTGTAATCATGAAACCAATACCAAATTCTTGTGAACTATTCAAAGTGATCTAAATTACTGTGGGACTTGACCTTTATCTCCCCTTTTCTGAGCTCACTGTTTACCCATAGGGATAAGAAAGCTTACAAATTCATGACCCTCCCTCTATTTTCCTGAATAGATTTATTGGCAAGTTATTTTGTTTCTTTCTTCAAAAGACAAATAGGTCTATTTCTTTTTCTTTCATTATAGAGAGCAGCATGAACACAATCCAGTCAATGCATGTGGGGGAGTTCAACCAGAAACTGGTAGAAGCCAGCACCCAATTTAAAAAGAAGCAAGGAAAAGGCACAATTGATGTGTGGTGGTTGTTTGATGATGGAGGTAAAAACAATTCCAGAATATACACTAGGGAGCAGAATTACTATGTTGACCAATTTAACTAACTGCACAGGGAGGTATATGAAAACGCTATCAGCTGGAGAACGATATTTCTGTGTTTTCCCAAGATTTTAAATTATTTAGGAGCAATGAATGTGGGAATGAATAAAGATGTAAAGCTATTCATTTCCTTTCAGCAAGATAGATTCATTCTTTCTGTCATAATTTATTCTTTTTTCAGGGTTAACACTCCTTATCCCGTATATCTTGACTCTCAGAAAAAAATGGAAAGACTGTAAATTAAGAATCTATGTTGGGGGGAAGATCAACCGCATTGAAGAAGAAAAAATTGCGTAAGTAACTCATCACTCCTGCGTTAGAGCCCTTTGGTTGTCTGTTACTTTAATGCTTTTAATTCTAAGAACTGTAAGTGTTCTTTGAAACACAGCAGACCAGTTTTCTGGTCATTAAGTCATCTGCATACTTCTTGTAATCACTGTCTTCATTTCCCTTGATCCCCTGCCACAAATGCTTTTCAAAAAGGAATTTCACACAGAGGCCTCATCTCAAGTCTTGAATGGGACTATCATTACCTTGTATAATGTTTGCTTGGAGTTGACCAGCGAATGTATCCACGAAAGGAAAAGCCCAAAGGAATTTGCGTCCAGTACTTTCTTTGGGGCGAGTCGAACCTGCTGGTTTGTGGTGGCCACTCCAGCACTGTACACTTAAAAAACAAAACTGAGACGCTGAACCTGGTTCTCATCCTAGCCCTGCCCACCATGAGTTGTGGAGCCTTGCAACAGTCACCATGACCCGGACCTGGGTGCCCAGTTTCTCATCTGTAGCTTGAAAAGAGTTTAAATGGATGACTATTGAGAACTCTCGTAATTAAAAAAAAAAAAAAAATCAGTCTCCAGAGTGCAAATTTGCATCTTTGTCATTGATTTAGTCATGGAGAGCGTGATTTAGTCATTGTGGAAGCAATAAGCATGTTAGGAACGCCGTGTGTCCAAAGGTCTCTGAGGGAAATCTGGAGAGGGACCTTCAGCAGCCCTGAGTCCCTCATGGCAGGCCCAAGTTCTGAGCCCTTCCAGAAATCACAAAATAATGACAGGCTTTTATTCAGTAATTTTTCATGTTTTTCCCCCTGTCCTGGGAGGATTTTATATATATACACACATATACACATACATATACATATACTTTTACAAAATATATTTTATATATCCACATATAATATAAATTATATATATTAAGCATATATATATTTAATTCCCCTTAAAGAGAGTCATATTATAATGGCAACTAACATGTTGGCTGTAACAATTTATATTTTCTTAAAGCCTCCAGTAACTTCCCGGGGCAAGTGATGAAATTTAAAAATGGTTGGTGGATTAGATGATAGCATGGCATCAATTTTAAATTTCCTGATTTCAAAATTTATACCTTGTTTGTATAAGAGAATGTTCTTATTCTTAGGAAATACTGAGGTATTTATAGGTAAAGGGGCCTGATAGCTCCAGCTGGGCAGGTGGATGGGTGAGTAGAAAGCAAGCAAGAAAGAAGGAACTTGTAGATAGACAGACACGGCTGTCTAGCAAGAGAAAAAGGTGGTACATCAAATAAACACTTGGTGATTTGGGGATTTTTTTGTACCACCCTTGTAATTTTTCTGTACCTTTGCAATTGTATCAAAAATTTCAGTTGCCAGGAAAAGAACCTCCAATATATAACGATATATCATAATTATTAGTTTGTCAGCATGTTGTCAATAACTCTAAAAATGATCAGCAAGATAATAATCAACAATGTTAAAGCTTGTTCTCTTTTTTCCCAAATGGTAAGGAAACATGTACAGCTCTGTATTATCTTAACTGAAATGTGAATGCAGAGTTGGGTTTGCCATTCCTAGGATCTGAATTTACATGAATCTGTCTTTATCTTCAGTGGAATATGCTTGGTCTGCATTTAATATACAGTAATGGAAATCAAACACTAAACACAGCCTTTGACTGTGAAGCTGAAATAAGACGTCAACTCTTATTAGTTATATATAGTTACATATGCAAGTTTTAAATAGTTACATATGCAATGATGAAGTATTTCTCTCTTGTATTTCCAGAATGGCTTCTCTTCTGAGCAAATTTAGGATCAAATTTGCAGATATCCATATAATTGGTGACATCAACATTAAGCCAAACAAAGAGAGGTATGAAGCATTTAACAAGACCCATTGTTTGCCCCCAGTACTCTCTCATTTTCCTTTGTGCTATTAAAGGGTAAAAATATTATCTATCAACTGTAGTGACCTCCTAATAAGATATAATAAAAAGGGACTTGGAAAAACCATGCAGAGTGATCAAATATATTATAAAGGAAGGAAATGATTTTGCGGTAAAGTCGAGCTTGAGGCGGAGAATTGTTGAAACACAGGTGAGTTAGTATTTTAGGATTGCCCTTCATGTTCGTGGTTTCTATGCTGGCAAGAGTAGCAGGAGGCACAAGCTCAGACTAGTCTGGACTGGGCAGTCAGGGCAGGTTTTCATTCTTTAAAGTTACTCATGGGGCAGCTGGGTGGCACAGCTGAGTGTCCACTCTTGATTTCAGCTCAGGTCATGATCTCAAGGTCACGAGATTGAGGCCCACATTGGGCTTCATGCTCAGTGGGGAGTCTGCTTGAGATTCTCTCTCTTTCTCTCTCTCGCTCTCTCTCTCTCAGCCCTTCCCCTCCCTCTAAAATAAACAAATAAATCTTAAAAAAAAAATTTTTTCAGAAATGTCTGTTCATGTCTTCTGCCCATTTCTTGATTGGATTATTTGTTCTTTGGGTGTTGAGTTTGCTAAGTTCTTTATAGATTTTGGACAATAGCCCTTTATCTGATATGTCATTTGCAAATATCTTCTCCCATTCTGTCAGTTGTCTTTTGGTTTTGTTAACTGTTTCCTTTGCTGTGCAAAAGCTTTTGATCTTGATAAAATCCCAATAGTTCATTTTTGCCCTTGCTTCCCTTGCCTTTGGCGATGTTCCTAGGAAGATGTTGCTGCGGCTGAGGTCGAAGAGGTTACTGCCTGTGTTCTCCTCAAGGATTTTGATGGATTCCTTTCTCACATTAAGGTCCTTCATCCATTTTGAGTCTATTTTCGTGTGTGGTGTAAGGAAATGGTCCAGTTTCATTTTTCTGCATGTGGCTGTCCAATTTTCCCAACACCATTTATTGAAGAGGCTGTCTTTTTTCCATTGGACATTCTTTCCTGCTTTGTCGAAGATTAGTTGACCATAGAGTTGAGGTCTATTTCTGGGCTCTCTATTCTGTTCCATTGATCTATGTGTCTGTTTTTGTGCCAATACCATGCTGTCTTGATGATGACAGCTTTGTAATAGAGCTTGAAGTCCAGAATTGTGATGCCACCAACTTTGGCTTTCTTTTTCAATATTCCTTTGGCTATTTGAGGTCTTTTCTGGTTCCATATAAATTTTAGGATTATTTGTTCCATTTCTTTGAAAAAAATGATGGTACTTTGATAGGAATTGCATTAAATGTGTAGATTGCTTTAGGTAGCATAGACATTTTCACAATATTAATTCTTCCAATCCAGGAGCATGGAACATTTTTCCATTTCTTTGTGTCTTCCTCAATTTGTTTCATGAGTACTTTATAGTTTTCTGTGTATAGATTCTTAGCCTCTTTGGTTAGGTTTATTCCTAGGTATCTTATAGTTTTGGGTGACATTTCTGCAAAGAAGACATCCAGATGGCCAACAGACACATGAAAAAGTGCTCCATATCACTTGGCATCAGGGAAATACAAATCAAAACCACAATGAGATATCACCTCACACCAGTCAGAATGGCTAAAATTAACAAGTCAGGAAATGACAGATGCTGGCGAGGATGCGGAGAAAGGGGAACCCTCCTACACTGTTGGTGGGAATGCAAGCTGGTGCAACCACTCTGGAAAACAACATGGAGGTTCCTCAAAATGTTGAAAATAGAACTACCCTATGACCCAGCAATTGCACTGCTGGGTATTTACCCTAAAGATACAAACGTAGTGATCCGAAGGGGCACGTGCACCCGAATGTTTATAGCAGCAATGTTTACAATAGCCAAACTATGGAAAGAACCTAGATGTCCATCAACAGATGAATGGATAAAGAAGATGTGGTATTATACACAATTGAATACTCTGCAGCCATCAAAAGAAATGAAATCTTGCCATTTGCGACGATGTGGATGGAACTAGAGGGTATCATGCTTAGCGAAATAAGTCAATCAGAGAAAGACAACTATCATATGATCCCCCTGATATGAGGGAGAGGAGATGCAACATGGGGGGTTAAGGGGGTAGGAGAAGAATAAATGAAACAAGATGGGATTGGGAGGGAGACAAATCATAAGTGACTCTTAATCTCACAAAACAAACTGAGGGTTGATGGGGGGAGGGGGTTTGGGGGGGGTTATGGACATTGGGGAGGGTATGTGCTATGGTGAGTGCTGTGAAGTGTGTAAACCTGGCGATTCACAGACCTGTACCCCTGGGGATAAAAATATATTATATGTTTATTTAAAAAAAAAATTTTTTTAAAGTAACTGGTGGTGCATCCTGGATGGGGAGCTCTGATACAGAAGCTAGAAACAAAACTGCTTGAGTCTTCCTGGCACAATGACAGAGCCGACCCTCCATGGCCATTTTCACTTTTAGGCACGAAGGACCCAACACTTAGAGCCGTGGAATTTTGGGGGTCCTCTAAAACTATCTGAAGCCCACCAAGGAGATGTATTGGCTCCAAAGTTTTAAAATGCTGAAATTTAAATAATTGCTTAAGTGTCTTCAAATCATGATATTTTAACCCTCGTTAGTCGTTCAATTTGTCAAGTCCATGATACTGGAAAACAGCTTGTAGATTAGATCCTCCCAGGAAGTCCCAGAGGTGTGAGAAGATGGACTGCAAAGTATAGCCAATACTAAATAAACTACTTAGAGTGATAACTTACCAATTATAATATTTTTCTGTTGTTTACAGTCCAAAATCATAGTTAAACTGTTGCATCTGGATATGATTTAATACACGTGATTTGGTGTGAAGTGGGCCTTCCAGATTGAGGGTACAAAGGGACACAAGGATCTCAGTGTAGCTTCGGTTCTCACTGGCCTGTTGGACCTGTTCTCACTTCCATTGACCATCATTTCTCCTTCCTCCTGCAGCTCCTGATGGCCTGCAATTCCACACTCAAATCTTGTTCTTCCCTTCTTTTCATTCATTGTTATCCTATATGAGCTTAATACCTAACAGAAAATCACCCATACTAAGATACAGTCTTGGGGCGCCTGGGTGGTTCAGTGGGTTAAAGCCTCTGCCTTCGGCTCGGGTCATGATCTCAGGGTCCTGGGATTGAGCCCCACATTGGGCTCTCTGCTCCACGGGGAGCCTGCTTCCTCCTCTCTCTCTCTGCCTGCCTCTCTGCCTAGTTGTGATCTCTGTCTGTCAAATAAATAAATAAAAATCTTTATTAAAAAAAATAAGATACAGTCTTGTCGACCATTCACAACCTGGAACTTCATACCATTTGTGGGTATTCATGATTCCTCCAAGGCTACGGGTCCCTCAAAATGGCTTTACAAAACATCTTAATTGTGATAAGAAAGCTACAATCGACAGAGCTCACCTGGGTTATCACTAGGCAATATTTCTTCACACTGTATATACCACTAGTGCTTTCTATTCCTATATCTCTACAGTTTTAAATAGTTGAGAAAAATTGAGATGAGTTTATAATACTCCTTGGTAAGTAGAATGAACATTTTGCTATGGACTGGGTTGTCATGTAGTAACCTCTGGTGGCCTTCCACATTTCACTTGAAGGATTTTAATTCCTAAGTCATCGCCTCTTTGGCATTTGCAGTGATGTGATCAAACAGGCTCCTCTTATGTCTCTAATTGGTGGAAATGCATTCTGTTTCACAACACAGCAGGCGCAGTGATTTCCTAGTGTGTGCCACGTTGCAACAGGCCAGAGCCCACCAGGGCTCCGCTATCATAGGGCCACTTTCTGTTGTCCGGAGGGTAGTCATGGTGTCCCCTACTGACTTCAGATTTCCTATTAACCCTGGCTCAGTGCTCGGCGCAAATTAGTCATCTACTTTTTGTCTCCAAATCCTTCTCGCTGCTGTTTTCTTAATAACAGCTAAGAACTGTCCGTGCTTGCCGATTCGTTTGTTCCTATATCCTTTGCCTCTTTACAGATCGGTCTGGTTTTCTGTAAGAAACACAAGTTTCTTTCCCTTCCTTTCATGCTAGTCTCTGCCCAGCTGCCACAGTTCCCCCCTACTTACCTGTCCTATCTGTCCTATCACCGAGGACGTCCATGTACTTCTTCCATTAGTGCCTTTCCATTGTCTGGGGGCCCATCAGAGGCTAGACACAATTTCCTTTGCTAATCCTGAACTTTGTGCCATGTTTTTCTCTCTTCAGGCAGCCAACATTATGGAGATGAGTAAAAAACGAAGGACCAGACATTCTTGCTTTTGTCCTGGTATCTAAATTTGCTTTTAGACACCATTTTAATGTGCTGTTTCTTACATGTCCTCATCATCCTGCAATGAAGAGATCTAGTTCCCTTTCTCAGGAAAAAAATGAATTAGATTTCACAGTTTGGGAGATCTTTTTCTCTGATGGTTCAAGGTCTTGAGGAAGATGCAAAAAAACAAAGTCCATTTTTCCCGGAATAGAAGAATCTTTGCAGCTAATGTACCCTGGTATGAAAATGAAATCCCACCAAGAAGAGAGGTGCTGGAAGGGCCATTCTCCTCCCTTCAGCTCTCCACTGTAACTGACACCATATTGCTTTGTAAAACAGTCATGTATCTGGTGTCAGCAACAATGTTCAAATATATAAAGGCGACCCTATTTTATTTTATTTTTTTTTTTAAAGATTTTATTTATTTATTTGACAGACAGAGATTACAAGTAGGCAGAGAGGCAGGCAGAGAGAGGAGGAAGCAGGCTCCCTGCTGAGCAGAGAGCCCCATGCGGGGCTCGATCCCAGGACCCTGAGATCATGACCTGAGCCGAAGGCAGCGGCTTAACCCACTGAGCCACCCAGGCGCCCCAAGGCGACCCTATTTTAAAACAGGGAGTGTTCACTCAGTAAGTCTCACAGATGGCCATTTGGTAGCACATCTGGTAGCTTTGTGATAATTTTTTATT